TATAATATAATTTTTTTTCTTTTTGGACAAAAGTTACTCCTGAGTGTGTGTGCATACATATGTATAGATGCATATATATGTTTACAAGTACATATGCATGTATGCATATATAGACACACACATATACATGTACCTCTGTACACAAACTTAAATATTTGTAAGTGTATATGCATGTATGCATATGTATGTATATGCATAGCACACATATTGAAAAACCTAACTTTTAAAGTTCTATTTTGCAGTGATGGTTACACCATCTCCCTCCTCTGAACAGTCTTTCTGTTTTAATAATGTCAAAGCAATTATTTCATAAACAAGGTTTGGAAGGTGCTGTTTGGGTTTCCCGAGTCTCTGTCTAGAGGTGGTTTTTGGGTTCTTTCTGTCCTGAACAAAGAATTGGTTGAAATAAGTACAAATGGTAATAAGGTTTTACATTTATTTAAATGTAAAGGTAGGAAAAGAAAAAGGCTCTATAGAGCAAGTTTAGGCCAAATAAAAGTAGGAAAGTAACTGCACTTTTAGGATGAAAGCTGGCTACTGTGAGAGAACACAGTAGCAAAGAGCTCAATGTGGACTGTCCGTTTTGTTTCACTACTTCTCAGGCTGACATTAGGTTTAGGCTGTCCTGTGGAAAACCTGCCTGAGTTCTCTCTAGAAGTCCATGTAGGGCTTTGGGAACTGTTCTGCATGTGTGTGCTGGGATTTTGTAATTAACAACTCATGCCTCCTTCCCCAGCCAGCTTTGCCATGCCCTAATCTCCTGCCTCATTTCCCACTGAGAGACGCATTCTCATCATTCTTTATGGGATGCTGAGGGAGTGGAGGTCTCTGTCTTCATATAGCTACTTCTTGCTGAAAGGGGCCCCTACCTACTGGGGGTTATGCGTTCTGTAACTATCTTGAGGTGTTGTGGCTCACTGGCTGTATTGAAGAAAAAACAAACCTCTCAGAAGACAATGAGAAAAGAGTTAGTGACTGTTAAGTTGTTTATTCAATGGGAGAAGGAGAGTAACTTCACTATTAAATTGGGGATGTAGAGCCCAAATATGAGGAGTAGCAGGTCAGATTGTCAAGCTTCCTGTGGAGGAGAAAGTATGTCCCCCCTAAAAAAGGATGTTAGATAAATTATTGAGAGCCTGAGAGTCATACACATAGCAAGATTATACACATTATATATCAATTAAAAACATGAGTTTCAAGGTAGGTGCCCATTTAAGATGTGGTGAATTAGGGTCATTAGTGACTCTACTTGTCTGCACCCAGAGCAATACTGGAGCCTTACTTTCTGAAGAGGAACCTCAGGTCTTCCAGAAGTTCAGAGGAGTAGCTCTCTTCCTCGTGCTTTGAAAATTCAAGTGATAGTTTCCCATGTAGGATTTTTATATTTTGTACTGTGTCCCTTGAGGATGAAACACTTTAATGGTTCCTTGGGAACTGGGAATAAGGCTAGGGTCTTGAGGGACTGTAAGGCTGCCCTTCTTGCCTCCCTACACCCTTTTGAGTTCCCAAAGAGATTTTAGACATGTCTCTTTGGGGCCCCTTGCCATGAATGAAAGTGACTTGCTTGGAAAGATTGACTGCCTCTAAGAGTTGTAGAATTTCCTGCTTGTGCTTTATAGATGATTGGTTATTTGTCAGCAAGTCACTTTCTTTCCAAATTGCTACATGCATGTAGCACCAGAAAGGCATATTTGGAGTGTGTATAGATATTTAGCTTTTTGCGTTTTCCTAATATCAATGCCTGAGTAAGAGCTATGAGCTCTGCTTTTTGAGTTGAGGTACCTTGAGGACAGGGCTTGGCTTCAATGACTTGTTGCAAACCAACAACTGCATAACTTCCCTTCAGTCTCCTTGGACAAAGCTACCCCCATCAGTGAACCACACATCCTCAGGTCACTGATGTCCTGACTGCTTCATAGGTCTGGGAAATCATCTGTTCACAAGAGTGGAATGCAAGTCTTTATGGTAACCTTAGGAATGTCTAGAAGCATGGCCTGGCATAGTCCCAACAGGTAAAATCTGCTTTGGCCTTTGCCAGAATTGGAGAATTGCCCCCAGTTTTGCTAGTAGAAGGACACTGTGGGACAATTAACAACTTATGGTGGAATATTTGACCTTCAAAGTGACATGTCAGAGTAGGAGTAAAGAACCTCTGACTAGGGCTTTCCTTGATCCCAATTATAGCTATAGATCTAAAGGAGGGTTTTCTAGAGAAAAGGAAGTTAAAACAGAAGCTAGGGCTGGGGATTTAGCTCAGTGGTTCCATCACCTGCCCTGAAAGCTCAAGGACCTGAGTTCTATCCCCAGTACCAAAAACAAAACAAAACAAAACAAAACAAAACAAAATAACAGAAGCCAAAGGAATTGAAATTGTTTGCCCATGAATCCAGAATCACCCAAGGTTTCTCTCAGGAAATGGATGTATCTATAAACAGGGCCATTGCAAGTTACCCTGGGCCTCTTCAGTCCTCTTTAACAGAGTAGGGGGTGGGGTGAGGATTTTGGCTGGTCAAGCCCATCTCTGAGAGCTGGCATAGTCAATCCTCCATTGCTATGAGTCAGGCACATTAGCTGCAAAGAGCTCAATGTCAACTGTCATTTTGGTATCATCCACTCCTCAGGCTGACATCAGGTCGAGGTCATTCTATCAAAAACCTGCCTGAGTTTTCGCAAGAAGTCCTCATGCAGGGCTTAGAGAATTGTTTAGCTCATGTTCCCGGGATTCTGTAATTATCAAGTCAGGCCTACTTTCCCAGTCAGTTTTGCCAGGTCCTAATCTCCTGCCTCACAAGTACCCAACAAAAACTCAAAACCAGAATCTTTTTTTTTGGAATGAAGAGGGCTTCAGGGTTCTTGGGTCACTTTTGTTATATAGCCCACAGAATTGCAAGAAAAGAACTTCTTAGAACATTTCAGAGATGAAACATCCTTCTATACAACTACTTCATCAATGATATTATACAAGGATGATCAAAACATACAATGAATATTTAATTTTTTTAACTTAAAAGACACTATTGACAAGAACAATGAGGTAAGTGTTTGAAGCAAGGATATTACAAGAATTTTGAGGGGAATTCATGGCAATGTGTTTTTTACTGTAATACATTTTTATATCTAAACATTCATTGCATTTTTGATCAACTTTTTAATCAACTTGTTAGTCAACTGTTTATGGAAATTTCTGTCAAATAAAAACATTACAGTGGGTCCTCAGGTGAAAAAACAAGTCCAAACCCCTAATTTATAAGTTAATGTAGAAGGACCTATAAGAATTTTTTTGAGTAAATTTTTTAGAAGGCTTGTCTTGAAGCTGTAGTTTTTCTTAAAAAATGCAATTTTTAAATCTTGATTATCTATTGCATTATGTATTCCATCATACCTCAACCAGGTCTCAGGTCAGGCACCATGCAGTCAAAATAACCAAGAAAGGTAAATGTGCTGACTCAATTCAGGCCATTAAGGCAGCCAAGACAGTGCAACTGAAGACAGGAAGAAAGACTTTCAAAACTGCTTCAGAAAGTGTCAACGAGGATGGGATAAGTGTGTTGAAAGTCAGGGGGAGTATTTCGAGGGAGATCCATGGCAATGTGTCTTTTACTGTAATAAATTTAAATTTTTAAACATTCTCTGTATTTTTTTGCTCATGCAGTGTATGCTTGGGGTTTAATAAGCAACAACTATAAAAATCACAAAGTTCTCTCCTCGTTTGCAACACGAAAATCTGTACATTCGCCTGACCAAATTTGGAGCACCCTTCTCCCAAGACCTTGGACCCCTTGTAACTGGCACTACTAAACGGAACTTTAAAGAGGTTCTTCTTTTAGCAAAAAGTAACTTCTCCAAACTTCCTGGTTAAGTTAAATATGCAGGTGCCCACACCAGGAGGCCTGGAGCCCAGTTTCCTTGCCACAAGAAAGGGGACAAGGAGCTGAAGATGGCTGAAAGAGATAAAACAACTGTGGAGATCTGCAGTCTCTCTGCACTTTTCAGCGACGTTCCTTACTATAATAGGCCCAGGTCCCTGCCTACCTGTACAGGGGGAGATGGTGATTTGAGGCAAATGGGCCGTTCCATCGCCTAGGAGCTAGCTTTGAATACCGCCCCCCTTTTTACCAAACTGTATGGCCTCCTTTGATTTAGTGAGCAAAGGACCCCGAGCTTATGAACCTAAGAGCGCGATAGCACCCTCGCGTCCCGCCTAGCACCCTCCCTCGCAGATCTGGCCTCCAGAGCACATTCCCCGAAGCCTGCCGAGCAAGTACAAATCACTGATGGTGAGTGCCAACGCGCACACGCATGTATGTTCCCACGGCTGAAAAACAGAGCCGGGCTCTGTCTGGTCCACGCGCGGCAGGAGCGGGAAGACAGCAGACTCAGCAGTCCCCGGGCCGGGCGCGCGCAGGCAGGAGGGTGGAGTGCGCGCGGGGACGGGGCCTGCTGACATCAGCGCGCTCCTCCCCTCGCCTCCCAACACCCTCAGCTCCGGCCGGACCCTCCCTCCTCCCACCACGTGTCCTCCCCGCTCCCTCCCGAGGGGCCGCGCACGGGCAGCAGGGCAGGCGGAAAGGATGGCGCCGTGACAGCCGGGCCGCAGTCCCCGAGTCCCCGCCCGCCCGCCCGCAGCCCGGCCCGCGCCTGCCGCCCGGCCCGGGGTGAGTGCGCGCCGCGCGGGGACGGCGAGGATCGCGCCGGGCGCGGCGGGGACGATCGGGGCCGGGATCGGGGTCCGAGGCTGCAGCCCCAGACGCCGCCGCCTTTGTTGAGGGCTGGCCGGGGGAGGCGGGCGGCCCCGGCTCTGGCCGCCCGGCAGGTGCGCTGGGGCCGGCCGGGAGGTGGCGGGGGCGCGGAGAAAGAGAGACGGGACAAGATGGCTGGAGAGCCCGAGCGCGCCGGCTGGGGGCGCGGGTGGACGGCCTGGCTGCTCGCACCTCGGCGCGGGGCGGGGCGGGGCCACCGCCTCCTTCCCCCTGGCTGGCCCGGGAGGCCTGTGCTGCCCGCCCAGACCCCTGCCTACTGCCTCCGCCCCCTTTTTTTTTTTAAATATACAAGCTGATTTTGAACTCCGAAAGGATCAATTCTTGGGAAGCCCAGAGGATGTGACCCACGAGGTGCACGGTCAGTCCACACCTAGGAATTGCCCGCGCCCCTAGAGGGCCGGGGCTCGGCCCTTTGTACTGTTCTGGCTCACAGAGTCGTGGGCGAGTGGAAAATTTGCATTTGTGTCCCAAAGACAAGGAGTAATTTACAGATCTAGGTGGACCCCCAGCAGAGTTTTGCATCTTCCTGGGTATCCAAGTCTACCGCTCCCTAGGTATTACTGACTCTGGGCTTTGGAAAGTCCTTTAAGGTGGATGACTGGTTTATATTTGTCTTGTTTTTGAACTGGCTCCTGGACAGCGCCTTTGAATTTGGAAAATCCAGGTAATAGGTACAGTATTCTAGGCCAGCGAACCATTCCCTCTATACTCAACTGGCTTCTCCTGCCAACCCAGCTGAGTAAGAGTCCTATCTGTGCAGACACTTTCACTGACAGAAAGTAAACACCCTCCTCTGATTGGATATTTGGGTGCTCCTGACTCTGGGAAAGGCTGTTTGAAACCTCTTCCCCACTAGCCTCAGCTCTGCCTTTGAGTCTTTACAAACCAATCAAGCCTGTCTGCCACAGAACGCTCCTAAGTATTTGAAGGCAGCCAGATATGTTATCTACCCACAGTCCCTCTTATCATAATTAAATATGCCAGCTTTCAGCTTCCTGGTGGTTTCCCTGAAGCTTGTCCTGCCCAGGCCCGACTGTTCCGGATTCATTCCAGCCAGAACAGTGCTCAGCGCTAAGGAAGTTTGTTGGTTGCTGATCCTTCCTCTCACAGGCTTTCACACTGACACCTGCTCTGTCCAAACTCAATCTTGCTTGCAGAGATGGAGCCTACAGCCTATCCTCTCAACGTGACCCTGAAAGAAGAGCAAGAGGAGGAAGAGATTCGGAGCCGGGAACTGGAAGATGGCCCCACGGATATGCAGAAAGTCCGAATCTGTTCAGAGGGTGGATGGGTGAGTAAGAAGGTGTGGGACTTGCTGAGGACCCAGGCTTGTTTCAGTCTCCTCAGGCAGAGAAGTAAAAATAGCCCAGTCCTTGTGTGTTTGCATTCCTGAGAAAACAGCCCTGTGGCTTTAAAAGGCAGTGCAAAGAATGGTGAATGGCGGAGGTGGTTGTGGGAACAGGCCCTTCAGCCTTGAGACATAGCGTCATCAGATTGGAAGTCTCGGGATTGGAGGTCTCGAGCCGGGGATTTAGCTCAATGGTTCCAGCGCCTGCCTCGCAAGTGGAAGGACCTGAGTTCAATCCCCGGTACCAAAAAAAACCCCAACAAAACAAAACAGATTGAAAGTCTCAGAAGCTGAGACCTTGTCCAGTCTTTCACCTGTTTTTCCTTACACCCTGCTGGATGCCACGCACATAATAGGTACCAAACAAATGTGTGCAGACTTTCTGGGGCTGAAGGGAACTGTTTTAAATAAGACTTGGGTCACTGAGCTGAACATGAGGAGAGGCTAGGCTTATAATAGTTCACCCAGGAGTGCTGCATGTCCCCCTGGCCTGGACTGAAATGGTGAGCAGCCAGGAACAGGGATATTTAGTCTCCGCAAAGAGAAGAGTGATAGAAGTGAAATAAGCTAAATGGATGGAAGTGGAACAGGCACTTATAGTTACATATAATTATTCGTAGTAGTTACTGGACTTCATGGACATTGGATATGAACTGTGAACGTTTTAAATAAGCAACAAATCGGCCTTCCTCGGCTTAGTTCTCCCTTGAAAACATCAGTGTCATTAATGCATACTATCCCTTGTTTTCAAGGAGAGGTCCCAATTCACAGAACCCTGCCACTTCCCAGTTATCTGGCCTACCCTGCTCCCACAAGGGGACTGGAGTACAGAAAGCTCATCTACTTTGCTCCAGGACGCACATGAGCAGATATTTGTTCATAAAAACAGGCCTCCTGAGCTGTACTCTTAAAAGTAGTGCATTTTATTGTGTGTATATTATACCTCCATAAACAAACAGTGCCAAAGCCAGGCACTGGGATCGCCATCTGGCCGTGAAGCCTGGGCTTTGTCTCAGCAGTATTCTTTGCCCACGCTGTCCTCTTCCCCGGTCTGATCCAGGCAGGAGTCAGTCCCATCTGGCTGGAAGCCAGACCTCAAGCATTGGAAACCCTGGGCTTTCAGACTAAATTGAGCAGTGCAGAACACCTAAATGGAGCGGAGAGCCATGGAAAACAAGTGGCTATCTGAATATGTTGGGGCAATGAGAAAAGAGCCAGGTGAAGACCATGCTTGGTCCTGGAAACAACGAAGTAGCCAGGAGAGCTGGAGGAGGGAGCCTGACATCTTGATGGTGCTGGGGATTTTGCACTTGTGACCTCTAGGCAGTCTGCCATCCATCTCCTGTTGTCCATGGTTCTGAGTGTTAAGACAAGATCCCTACCCTCATGGAGTTCATAGTCTTGTGAGGAAGACAGGGAAGTAAACAGAGTTAATCATACAGAATATTCCAGCAGCCAGGAGTGAGGAGGCCTTCTTCAACCCAGAGCACACATTTCCTGGAGAAGGCTTAGTCTGGACCACTGGAGTATTTTGCCCCCTTCCAGCCCTGGAACATTTAGCAACATCTAGAGACACTTTTGGTTTGATGATTTGAAGTGGGGATTGAGGAGTGTATTTAGGCCAAGGATCTACCTACACAGTTACAAAATGCCGGATGCCCCATGCGTATACAACAAAGAATTAACTTTGTAGCGTGAGATTAAGAAAGACTGCTCTAGAATATTAAATTAGGGGAAGGAAAGAATTGAATCTGTATTTTAAGTCTATATTTTGGTTGTAGAGAGTTATGTTAGGGTAATCAGTAAAGCCATTCAAACATAAGTACTGTGTTCTATATAAGGGTAAAGCTCCATAGAATTGGAATAGAAACACAATTTCAGGTACAAAAAAACGTACTTTGAACTGAGTCACGAGTGGAATGAGCCGAAGGGAAAGGAGGGGTTTTGCACTGTGTACAGAGTTCGGAGTCACTCGGGAAGCAGGAACCTGAGGCACCAGGCAGGGAGTAGCAGAGGACAGGCTGCTGAAGTATGGCAGGCCAGGGGCCAGCACCAGCCACCAGTGTGGTGTGCTGTGCTGAGTCTGAACTCTCTGGAGAAAAATGAGTCCTTATCCCATCTTTCTTTTTTTTTTAATTTTTATTTTTATTTTTATTTTTTTATCCCGTCTTTCTAAGGGAAGCCTCCGGCTCCACAGACACCATGCTAAGGCCTGTGTGGCCTGCTGAGAAAGTACGGGCTTGGGAATCAGATTCCAGCTCCCTGACCATGCACACACTACTTGGCCACTGTTCCCTTCCCTGCAGAAGTCGGGTAGTAATCTCCACATCCCTAGCATATTTTAAAGAAAGAATATCTTTAAATAGACTGGAGGCCCCTGTACAGTGCCCAGCACATAGCAAGTCCTCCCTCCACACATCTACACGCTCACTCCCCCCGGATCCCTGCTGGCCTTGCTAGGTGACTGTGAGGCTGTACGGTTACCCTTGCAAGTGAGTGTTGGAACACCGGCCTCCCAGCAGAGCACAAGACCTAAAGGAAGAGCACTTCTCTGCTGAGCCCTCGATCTTCTGACAGAAGGAAGCCAGCAGGGATAGAGGGCCCCACCTGGAAGGCTAAGAAAGGATGTCTGGGGGCTGACCACAGATCTGACCTCTCCATTCTGCCCCGGGCTGGCCCTGTTTACCTTCTGCTACATTCGGCCAGATAAAAGGCTGGGGCACCCAAGGAGGCCCGCAGAGCAGGGCTGCTGGAGCCTGGCAGTCCACAGAGCAGCTGTGAGGGGAGTTCCTAAGCACTCCCCCTGGGTCTCCGGCACATAATGTGGGCTTGTCTGAAGATCCTCCATGGCTCAGTCATTCAGAGGAGGTGAACACCTCCCAGCCTCTAGCTTCCTTCTCATTACCTCCAGCGCAACTTCTACCTAGTGCTTTTCCAGAATGTGTCACCCTCTGCAGTGGCCAGCGTAGCCCAGCTGTGTAGTTCCTTATCAGCAAAGGGCGAGACATTTTAAATAGGTATGGCCTCGATCTGGAACTTCCCAGGGAGAGAAAAGACCAAAGGAAGAGTTGTTTCAAAGCCGCGAAGTCAGAAGTGGGTGGAAAATGCCTGGGCTGTCTAGTTTTCTAGATTGAGGAAGAAATCTTGAGGAAATCCCAGAAACCAATCCATTTTTACCTCCTAGTATTTCACACTTGGAGATTTTTGTCCATTCTTACTCCAAAGCATTGGCTCAGTTTTGTGACAGAGAAAACTTAATGATTCTTTGAAACGGTTCCAAGTGCAGCAAGAGAAGGGAAATCCAGAGATTATTTGCCTAGATCATTCATTCAAAAACATTCCAAATGACTGCCAGCTGCAGGAAGCACCTAGGCTTAGGGAAACAGAGTCCAGGCTCTGTCCACAGCGAGCTCCCATTCTAGTAGAGGACTAGTGAAGCAAAAGAATACTGCAGGGTCACAGGTGCCTCCATGGTTTTGAGCCCACGCATTGTTTGCTGGCAGCCAGGACAGATCAGGTTTCCTGGGGAGTAGGATGGTTTGCTGAGTCTTGGGAGATGGGTGGGTGTTAGCCAGGCCCAGAATGGGGAGGACTTCTGAGGCCCAGGGAGAAGAATGGTCAGAGAGGGGTAGATATCTGGGAATGACAAGCAGCAAGGAACAGCTGCAGCACAGATGTGGCGGAGAGTTGAGGGTTAGTCACACTAGGGGCAGCTTTGCTCTCAGTAGCCAGAGGCTTGGAATCACGATGCTCAACTTAGCGTGTGCTGGCTCTGTGACTTTAGCTTGGAAATGAGGCCTCTCTGAGCCCATTGCCTCCTTGATTCACCTGGGGTGTATCTGTTCCTTCACAGGGTTGTTGGGGGAAATGAGTGAAGCAGTCGCAGGGCCTTTCCTAGTGAGTGCTCCCTGCATGGAAGGTGCTCTGGGCGGGAGATCAGTGAGCCTGTTTAGGTGAGGAAGGAGAGGCTGGTGACCTAAGTGATGGACGATTGGCGGCCTGACCCCTGACCAGGCTGCAGGCTGTAGAGACTTTTAATTTCCTGAAGCTGAGAAAGAACAGTATAATGCCCCAGACTTGTGGTAAGCTTTGGGGAACAGCTGTGAAGGCCAGTTTACAAAGTGACCAGGCTAAACAAGCTGTCCGGCTGTTTCTTAGCACTGCATATGGTCCACTTTGGAGTAGCACTTTTAATGACCAAGAAAGAAGAGCAAAAAGGAAAGCAAATCAGTTTTTAAAAAGAAGGGATTGGCTTTGGTGCCTTGGCTTCCTTTAGCTAGGGGCCACCCCTCCTGCTCAGGGCAGGAAGGGAGAGAGGGGTAGAGTAGAGGCATGGGCTTCTCTCCACAAAACACTGCCCACCTGGTCTAGGCCTCTCATTTCATAAATCAAGCTCTAATTAGCCCTTTCTCTCGCTGGCTTTGGGTTCCAAGTCAGACACAAGAGTTAATGCCCTTGGCTATGGTGTGTCCCAGAAATCATGAAGATCCCATGGGAAGTAGTAATCTTTTCAAATTCCTATTCCCTGCTCCTCCCCTTGGGCTGAGGGTCTTCTGGCTGCAGGGAGGAACAGATTGTGTTGAGTGGGTTGGGGCTGCTTCCTCTGGGTAAAGCTGGCCCCTGCCTGTGGAGTCTGGAGTGAAATTTGAGCTGCTCTCCTGCAGTGTGCAGGGAGGGGGCTACGACATCCAGTGTCCCCCAGCCTAGTGATGGGTAATAGAGGAGGTTCCGCCTCAAAGTGCTGCTCACTGTATTTGGGACCTGAGGGAGTGGAAGCTGCTGGGGAGGCACAAGGGGGTCTGTCCTCTTGCCTTGTCTTGAGCCCAGTAGCCACAGGAATTCGGACAGAACTTTTCTTGTGACAGACCTGACCTGCGGGAAGGAGGGGAGGAGGGAGGGCTGTGCAGCTCACCTGTGAGGATCCGCGGGCTCTGATAGTCTATGTCTCCATGTGCCTGTGAGCCTTGAAAGGCCTGTTCCTTTTCCAGGTGCCAGCCCTGTTTGATGAGGTGGCCATATATTTTTCTGACGAGGAGTGGGAAGTTTTGACAGAGCAACAAAAGGCCCTCTACCGGGAGGTCATGAGGATGAATTATGAAACTGTCCTGTCCCTCGGTAAAACTTTGTTTTCCTTTGTCTCGTGGAAGCTCTAAGCCCAGAGAATTGTTTCCATGCCTCTGTTCCCTGATGTATCTGACATCCTTCTCTTCTGAGCTTGGACTCTCTCCCCTTCATACCTGTGTCCATTCCATTTCTTGCTTTTGATTTGGACAGGATATAAATACATCTTCCTACTTAATGACTTCTGCTACCTCTTAGAATTGTCCTCATTTAACCCAGGCATTCACATTTTTACAAAATTTATAGACCTGGCTGTGGTAGTATATGTCTGTAATCCCAGCACTCTGGAAGGCTAAGGTAGTAGAATTACAAGTTCCAGCCCAATGATGCAACTTAGCAAGGTCCTGTCTCAGAATAAAAAATGGAAAAGGGGCTGGGGTTTCATTCCCATTACTATGGAGAAAAAAAGACTATAACCTTAAAAATGTCACCATGGATCTGGGCCTATGCTTCGTTGGGAAGAAAGGCAGGCTTCATTGCTACCCTGTAGGCCTCAGTAACCTGGGGATGTACCCTCAAAGGGTGCCCCTGCCCTGACATTTGGATCCCCCATTTATTAGTGTAGAGACATCTGGAGGATTTCCCAGTTTGACCATTCAGTGTTCACTGGATCAGTGGCTGCATCCACCCAACTTGTCTGCTAAATGCCATCCTTTTGTTGTTAGTCCCAGTCTTCACTAACAGAAATCCAGAAAGTCCCTTGGACAGACCTGTTTCCTGTCCAATTTTAAGTATTACCAAGTATTTTTCCCTGTCTTTCACGCAATCTTTTCACAAGATTATAAAGTACAGTATTTATTTTAGTTTTGTGCCAGGACAGAAACACACAGCTCTTACCTGTTTTATTTCCTATAAACAGAATTCCCATTCCCTAAACCAGACATGATCAGCCGGCTGGAACGGGAGGAGGAATCTCATAATTCCGATGAGTGGCAGCTCCAAAAAGGAACTTTTGCAGGTAATGCAAGCAAATCACTTCAACATCCGTCTGAAAAACTGGATTTCCAGTTTCCATTTACATTCTGGAGGGTATTCTGGAAGGAGGCAGGGCTGTGAGACAAACATTATGGGTTTTGGAGTTTAAAAATCTCCGGATTTCCAGTGCTAGCTGTGTGACCTTAGGCAACTTTTACCCCTCTGGGCTTCTGTGTCTCCATTCATCAATTGTGGGTTTCTAAATAAGACTTGATGTGCGACCTTGTATAGGGATGGAGTAAAATAAGGCTTCTTTGGCATTTTGGTCCTGTGTCCATGCTGAGTCCATGCTGTACCTCTGCAGACTAAGGACTGCTGGGAGCAATGTGCTGCCAGAGTTACTTGCTTTGGCTTCCTGTTCATCTCAAACAGCAAAAGCAGTAAAGGGTACAATACACATTTGAGCAAATGTGTCTAAAAAGCACCTGGGCCAGGGATTTAGCTCAGTGGTTTCACTGCCCTGCTGCGCAAGCACAAGGACCCGAGTTCGATCCCCGGTACCAAAAAAAAAAAAAGTTACATTGCTAATGTGATTTTTGCTATAAGTGGCCTTGATTCATGGGATAGGATTTAGCCCAAGACACAGCCAAATCTCTGTAATATTAGGTATTAGTATGGATTACATGTGGCTTCTTATTCACAGAAGCATTATTTGACCCCAATATGACTTCCAATGCATTTGGTCCAAGCATGACACCTGTGTCCAGTTCCACTGAAAGTTCTCTGCCTGTTCCTAGCTTGGCATTTGTATTTCATAGGTTCCATCACCTCCCTTTCCTATCTGCAAAGAAGGGACAGTGATCCACATGGTCATTGGAAGAATTCCATTTGGCGATCCATATAAACTGGCACGTGAATAAGGGCTGAGAGACTGTTACTTATTAAAGTTAGGACTTTTGGTGAACCTCAGGTTAAGCATTTTGGCCCAAAGTCTCGAATGACCATTGTACTAAACTGGCATTATTTTTGTTCCTTCCTGTTTGTCTCCCAGAAAATGAAGACTCTGACCTTAAGCCCCCAGACTGGGCAAGCCCCATGCATACTGCCTCCCAGTTTCCCCCACCTCAACACCTGGACAGATTCAGCCTGCGTCTGCCTCGGTGCATCACAGAGCTGCCCGAGTGGAGTGAGGGGTACCCCTTCTACATGGCCATGGGCTTCCCTGGTTATGACTTCTCGGCTGATGACATAGCTGGGAAGTTTCAGTTCAGCCGAGGCATGCGCCGAAGTTACGACGCAGGGTTCAAGCTGATGGTAGTGGAGTATGCCGAGAGCACCAACAACTGTCAGGCTGCCAAGCAGTTTGGGGTGTTGGAAAAAAATGTTCGAGACTGGCGCAAAGTGAAACCACAGCTCCAAAATGCGCACGCCATGCGGCGGGCATTCCGAGGTCCCAAGAATGGGAGGTTTGCTCTGGTGGACCAGCGTGTGGCTGAGTATGTCCGATACATGCAGGCCAAAGGGGATCCTATCACCAGGGAAGCCATGCAGCTGAAAGCTCTTGAGATCGCCCAGGAGATGAACATTCCAGAGAAAGGGTTCAAGGCAAGCTTGGGTTGGTGTCGAAGGATGATGAGGAGGTATGACCTATCTCTGAGGCATAAAGTGCCCGTGCCCCAGCACCTGCCTGAAGACCTGACTGAGAAGCTCATCACATACCAGCGCAGCGTGCTGGCCCTGCGCAGGGCCCACGACTATGAGGTGGCACAGATGGGAAACGCAGACGAGACGCCAATCTGCTTAGAGGTGCCGTCTAGGGTGACTGTGGACAACCAGGGTGAAAAGCCTGTCTTGGTCAAGACGCCGGGCAGGGAGAAACTGAAGATCACTGCGATGCTGGGTGTCTTGGCTGATGGGAGGAAGTTACCTCCGTACATCATTTTGAGGGGGACATATATCCCCCCTGGGAAGTTCCCCAGTGGGATGGAGATCCGCTGCCACCGCTATGGGTGGATGACTGAGGACTTGATGCAGGACTGGTTGGAAGTGGTGTGGAGACGGAGGACAGGAGCCGCGGGAACTGTGCCCAAGCAGCGAGGGATGCTGATCCTGAATGGCTTCCGGGGCCATGCCACCGACTCAGTGAAGAGCTCCATGGAAAGCATGAACACTGACATGGTGATCATCCCCGGGGGCCTGACCTCACAGCTGCAGGTGCTGGATGTGGTGGTCTACAAACCACTCAACGACAGCGTGCGGGCCCAGTACTCCAACTGGCTTCTGGCTGGGAACCTGGCACTGAGCCCCACAGGAAATGCCAAGAAGCCGCCTCTGGGCCTCTTCCTAGAGTGGGTTATGGTTGCATGGAACAGCATCTCAAGTGAGTCCATTGTCGAGGGGTTCAAGAAGTGCCACATCTCCAGCAACTTGGAGGAGGAAGATGATATGCTATGGGAAATTGAGAGCGAGCTGCCTGGAGGGGCTGAGCCAGCGAAAGAATGTGACACTGAAAGCATGACAGAGGGCCACTGAAGGGCAAGTTCAGGTAACTGGCCAGGAGTAGATGCTCAGTGTCTTCACTGATGTACATTTGTGTTCACACACGTCTTTCTCTTTCCCTTATTTTTCTCTGTTGTCAAGTTATCTCAGAGCCTACAGTGTTGTCATGTACGTAAAACACCATCAGTATTTTCCCTTTGTAGGAAACTTTGATTGCTTGGCTTGCTTTGTGTATAGTTTGTGCCCTGCACCCACGAGCACTTGGAATATATGTAAAATGAACAAAGGGTGAGCTGCCAGAATATTTCATCTGAAAGTGGTAAAGTTGAAAGAAATTATTTGGTCCTGAAAGAGCACAGTCAAGAGATAGCTCCCTTCATAAAAAGTTTTGTCCAAAAAGATGAATTTTTTTCTTTCCCTTATAAATCAAGCTGAACATTTAGGGCCAGGAGACCCGGGCAGTACAGTGTGCTCAGATCTCAGTCTGGGGGTGGTCTGCACTATGCCCCCTGGGGAAATAAAAGGTTAGCTTCTGATTGCTTTTCCCAAGGGTTTCCCATCATCTTTGTGTCCTATTCACCTTCAGGTGGAGCAAGCAGTTACGGTCATTTCCTGTAGTGAGCAGATGTCTGAAGTTTTAAAATTGAATCATTGCACCAAGGGTTAAAATAAAATACTGCATACTTAGGAATACAGTGAGTAAAGCTTGAAGGCCAAGGACAACAGCACTGAGTTGAGAGGAAGAGCAGTTTAAAAGCAAGCAAGGAATGGGAACCCACCAGAGCCAACCCCAGCGAAGGAGCGCACGCCTCCAATCCAATCATCTCCCCACACACCCAGAGGAGCAGGGGAGTGGCCACACAGCAGGAGAAGGCAGATGAGCAGACAGCTCGCTTTAACGTCCTCAGTCTCATTTTCCTAATTATCAAGTGCTCTGTGCCTCCAGTGTTTTAAAGTGGATGAGGCCATTCCTTTAATAGAGGACCTGAAACCATCTTGACACACTTTTTTCTCTCTTACAGTGTAAGTAGGTGTTTGCATTCTACTTACTTTTTCCTCCAAATGAAATGCTAAAACGAATCTTCTTCCAGCCCACTTTCTGCTGCATAAGCATGTCTGAGTGTTAAAGTGTGACTTTCGCCTCCTTCCTTTCACCCAAGTCAAATTGTACTCTTATCACTGAATTCCATTTAGTTCTGGGATCCCTCAGTTACAGTAGAACAAGGAGTTCTTATTCTTATGCTCAAAATCACTGAAATTTTTTTTTTCTTTCATGTCCCCTCTTTCAAAACTCCTGTGAATTCAGCCTTCCTTATACTGATCCTTTCACTACCTCCACTGGTTATCAAACTTGGGGTTACCTCATTTTTTATCATTTCCTTTTTTTAATTTCCTGCTCTTTAGGTAACATTTTTGAGAATTTTCAATTTTCTACACTGTTTCCTAACCAAAGGACCAAATCACTCAGAAAAGGAGAGGGAAGAAGCCTTTACTGAGCTGCAGCCATGAGCTTCTGTCCCCTACCCGCCTGAGCTCTTGTGCCTCTAGAAAGGCACTGTCCTCTGCAGTAATGGAAGTGAATGAGATGTAGAAGATGCCCTGGCACAAAACTGCCTCTTGTCATCTATTTGGAAATGTGATTAACTATTGTTTTAAGTTACTAAAATATCCAGAAATTCAAGGGTTAATTCACACTTAGGTTCTGTCTGTTTTCCAGCAAATGGATCTGTGGTGGAAACAGGTGGGGAGAATCCTCAAGATTATTTCTGAAAGTGCAGATGCACAAGGAGCAGTAGGAAAAACACCTGGGTTCTGAACAGCCTGTGTGTGGACGGTGGCCTGCGCATCCATCCAGGGACACATCCCACTGCCTCCACCCTGAAAGGTGTGAGCAATGTTTTAAGATCCTTCATTTCAACAAAGACAAGATGAGAAAAGAAACTTTCTGCCCAGTTTCTTGTTTTGGAGATTCCTCAGTCTGTCCATCAGAAGAAACCTGTAAATATGAATGAACAAAGGTATTTTTTGGAGAAGAGGCCATTTGGTCAATACCAACCAGAGACTCATGGTGTGGGCTCAACTCTCATGGTGTCCTTTCTGTGGAGAAATCCTCAAATACATGTTTTATTCTGCCTTTGAAAATGCTTCCAGAAGTAGAACCTGTCCCCACAGGTCAAGACTACAGAGAAGGCTTGGTAGAAATGTGTCACTTACGTACACTTGCTACTTACACATCTCCTCTTTCAAGAAAATCAGATGCTAATCACAGCAAAATTAAGACAAACTGGCCTGGCACCAGCAGATGACTTTTCCATAGACAAACTAGATTAGTGTGGAAGATATAGGTTAAAATAAACCATGTTGTTCTATTAATCATCCCAATCTGGTTGGCAGCTAGACTTTTCAGGGTCTTGTTTCATGGCCCTTTTTTTTCATTATATTTAATGATCAGGCAGCACACAGTCCACAAGCCCTTCTGTTTCTCAGGCTGCCTGCAGAAGTCACTATGAATTATCTGCTGTCTACAGGGTACAGGGCCCACTGACTCATCTACTTGTTTTGTTAATTTCTTTAATATCTCTATCACGGGGCAGTAAGAGGACTTGACCCTTTAGCCACAGCTGTTTCAAGACTTCAGATCTTCTGCCCTGCAGGAGTAAGTGGGAGGTCATCAAAATTTTACACAGTAGTAATCTGCATTCTCACATTGGCTGAGTGTTATGAAAACATTCCTTCGATGCTATCTGTGCTACAAAAAAAAAGTATGCCAAAACCTCAGACCAAGCAGTTGCTAGAACATCATTCCCGTGTTGAGTCTGGATGTTGAGTCTGGCTAACAGGCTACCACAACCACTTTTCTTTCCCATAGACTCAGCTCACGTGTATATTATAAACTGTTCTTGGTATTTTGAACACCTATTTCTACTCAGGTACTCATTTTCCTGTTACTGATTTACTTTTCTGATCTTTTTAAACTAGCTCCCTACCTCACACACACTTGGGGGGCAGATTTCTCTTCTTTGTATCCAAATAACTTTCAATATTTGAATTGTTTCCCCAGTTGCCTCTTCCTGAAACTGTATTCTTGGTCACCCAAAATTAGCGTCTAATCCCTATTACTTTCCATTCCAGAAGTTTTCATTCCCTCCACTTCTACTTTTTCCTTCTACTGTCCTAGTTCTTGGCCCTTTCTTCTTCGTGTCTTATTTCTCTGCTTTGGGAGCTTAAAAGATGCTACAAGACTTAATTTTGGGTTCCTGCATGGGAGCCAGTTATGTTGTGGAGAAGAGTAGGAAATGGGTTCGACTCTTGGGCTGGGGATTTAGCTCAGTGGTTCTGCCACCTGCTTCATAAGCGCAAGGTCTGGAGTTCAACCCCCTACCAAAAAGAAAAGAAAATGGGTTCAACTCTTGTTTTATTCCACAACACCTCGTGTCTCAACTTGAGCTGAGATGATGCCTTACGTTGCATAGCACTGGAACCTTCCTAGAGCGATGGCTCTGCTGTCAGGGTCTTCTGGGCTCCCCTTCCAGACTTAAGATGATCTATGCCTAACAGAGCCCCAGTACAACTGTTCTACAGAATGGCTATTACCCTAGAGTACTATAGCACACTGAGACATAGTTGTATTCCCTAATAGATAGGAACTGACCCAACAATAAACTTTGATAATAAAGATAATAGACTATAGTGGCTTTATTTACCTGCTAGCTTTGTCTAAAGTTACCTTTTAAGCTACTGTCTATACTTTATTCTCCATCCAGTTTGGTACCAATATATTTATTATGCTTTTGAATCAAATAAAAACTGCATGGGATACAATGTTGGTGTCTTTAAAGACAAAGGGAAGAAAACAATGAGTGGTTTTAAGTTGGCTTTTAGAGGTAAGTCAGTCTAGCATAAATAGTTCTTTTCCTCAATCAGTCATGGTTCACATGTTGTCAGGGATGGCTACCAAAATTACATGAAGGAAATCTATAAAGGTTATTAATATAGTATTGCCTGAAACATGCTAATGAGTTGATGGATAGAAAACTTAGTATCCTATTTCCCTAAGTTTCTTTAAAACTGAAAGCATCAAGCCAAGCATGATAACACACTCCTGTAATTCCAGCATAAGGCACGAGGATCACCAAGAGTTTGAGGCCAGCCTGGGCTACATAGCAAGACCCTGACAAGAAAAAAACAAAACACCTGAGTGTCATGAACCCAGAGGCTGCTTTACGGAACATTAGTAAATTTAGTCCTCAATTTATGTCCATGACTCAAGTAGTAATTTACTGTCCAAGAATGATGCCGACATTTTTATTACACCTTTTTAAGCAATCAGAATCAAATGCTACTGGTCTGTTGGCCACACTCCTAATCTAAGACTCAGACTAAACCTGTACCCATTTTCCTCCCAGAAGCATCTTGGTATGTCAAAGACATGAAAGGACACGCGTGTTCACCCATGGTCAAAAGACTAATCATTTAGAAGGTAATCTGAAATCTGGGAACATCCCAGTGATCACAGCAGCTGGGTGATAAAGGTGACCAAGAATATATGCTAAGCTAGCCCTCGGTCTGCCCACTGAAGTGAGGCAGGCCTATGAACCCTGATTTTGCAGTGATAAACCTGTAGCTGAAAGACAATTATTTAAATTCCTGAAGGAGAAATAATCTGGAATAACTGAAATTATCTCATCTCCAACAGCTTTTTTTTCTGATTGAAATATTTTTCTAAATGAGGCTTGGTAATAAGTACTCGTGATTTCTTAATTATAGAAGAGAGGACACACAGGCTTCCACAGCTGGCAATGTTGTCAGAGATGCAGCCAGCCTTCAGTGGAACCAGAATCTCAAATCTCTCAGGGGCTCTCTTGAAAATCCTAATTATTTCTTCTACCTCTCTGCCTTGCCTTCAACCCTATCTCCCACTTTAGAAGATGATGTCTTGAAAACTGGCGTGGAAAGCAGATTTTATTTCATAGTATAGACCTGAAAGATGAGGGAAAGGGAGTCCTCTGACATTCTGTGATCTCACCAGGAGGACGATGACAAGATTAGGCCAGGTCCAGAGTAGTGAGTTTTCCAACATGGAATTTCCTCTGCTACACAGACCCCTACAGAGCCTCCCACTGCAGCTGTAGCAGTGAGACATGGTCAACTTGTGTGCAGCATTCTGAAATGAACCCCCTTTTTTATTTTTTGGTACCGGGGATCAAACTCAGGTCCTTGCGCTTGCAAGGCAGGCGGCAGAACCACTTTATTCATTTAAGTATCAGCTCAAATTCTTCCAAACTCAAACTTCTTGAGGGTTATCTCACCTAAAATTCTAAAGGGCTCATCTCAACAACTGAAACTAAGCTGCTGATTTTTTTCTTTTTAGTCTTAACTCTACACATCTCAAAAAAAAGAAATGGCACACCTTAAGAGGAACCTGCCTTTCAGTCCTCATCTAGTACATTTGTTTGAAAAGTCTCTGCCAAGATCTCATAAAGCAGGGTTTTTCCTGTTTCCATGCAATGTACTATTCCTTGTATGTTTACTTTAATAAAAACAAAAAATTTTCTCCCAAAACATTTATTTGTCACATTTAAAATGCAAAATCAAATACACAGATCCAGATATATGAACCATATCTACATATCTATTTTTTAGATCTACATAAACCCATCTATACATTCCAATTTATCCATCAACACTATGAATAAAAAGCAACATATCTATAAAAAAAAACAAAGCTGGTTATCAGTAACACTATCAAATGTAAATTATTTTCACTTTATGACTTGAAAGGACAGAAATAGCTATTTCAAAGGAATGGAATTACCAAGCATAAATCCCATTTGTTTGTATAGCTATCTTAACACATTCTATAGGAATTAATAGATAAGCATGTCAGAGTCTTTGGACAGATTAATGCTAAAAAACTTCAGTTATAGGAACACATTTATAAGATTAATTGCATTCCAAGAGTTTTTTTGTTTTGATTGTGGTTTTTAATACAAAGAAGGGACTTCTGTCTAATAGCACAGCATTTCCAAATCAACTGTCTTTTGGGGCACTATGTGTAGCTGTTAAAAATTAAAATGGGTCACTAAAGGAGTTATCTGATTTTTAACACTATACAGTTTATTTTATCCAAAATGCATGAGTACAATTCTTCAGGAGAGGCAGAAACTTTTAAGATACTTGCCAGATACACAGTATATGATGTCACTGAGCACACCAATGTCCTGCTAATCATGAGAACTACGCTATAACAGCTTCTTCATTCTATGATGTCATCCATCTTACATGCAGACCATAGGACACTAAACCTCAGATGCCTAAACATCCCCATTCTAGGCACAGAACTCCCTTAATGCCTGCTCCTGGAACTGGGAACAAATACATATAAACATGGGTCATTATCAGATTTATATTAATGGCTTCATAGTAGCAACACAAAATGTACTCAATGTCATATTTCCATAGGAAAGGTTATATATATACATATATATACACTTCAGTCTTGAAATGTGAACCCCAAAACATTCAACTTTCAATAATCAGTGACTTGATGAGAGCTCCACACCCTCAGATCCTAACTCAGCAGAGCAAAAGCCCTTCCTTGGCTGCCAAGCGCTGGCGGTGGATTTTGTCTTGCTGCAGCTCTTCGTGATTTGGGTGCCAGAGTTTCATGATGATTCTTTCAATGTTAAGGGCATACACAGTATGTGTAGGAATGACTTCCCTGTGTACCTGGGATAAAAATGCGCAAGTCTTCAATTATTCTTTAGTAGACTTGTTTTTCTAACATAAAAAATGAAACCAGGTTTATACCAACAAAACACACAACCTATAAACCTTAAGTCAGAATCCAGTGAATCCCAAATGAGATAATAAGAAAACAAGGAGATTGTAAGGTTCTAAAATAGGAGTAAGGGAACAAAGGGATTGTTTTTCCTTTTCCCTTTTTTAAAAATTAGATACAGAGGATAAGGAAGGTAAATAGGAAGGACTCCTGGACTCAGGATTTGGAAAATAAGGCTAGTATTAATGCTTTAATAATAAACAATAAAACATGAAAAACATCCAAAAAGTAGGAAAAAAAACTAATGAATATTTTTGCAGACCTGAAGAATCTTTTTTTTTTTTTTGAGACAGGGTCTCGCCATGTAGTTCAGGCTGGCCTTGACATCACCATGTAGCCAAGGATGCCCTCAAACTCCGTGATCCTCCTGCCTCTGCCTCCCAAGTGCTGGGACCACATGTGTACGCCACCACGCCCAGCTCTGAAGAATCTCTTAACCTGTCCATAAGTCCAGATAAACTCTGAGGAGTCAAGAATTACCTGCAAAGCTTCAAAAAGGTCATACATGTTCACTGGAGGCAAAGATGCAGGCAGTGTGTCCCCAGAGCAAGCCAGTAAGAGTGCGGCCTGCTGCTCAGTGTCGTCAGGGGGTGGGTGAGAAGACAGATTCTGACCAGCACAGGGAGTAGAAAAGGCTGGAGGGCTGAAAAGAACAATTTGAGAAATAGTCCCAGCAAGTACCATGGAGACACCTGAATAACAGAATACAGTGGGTTGCTAGAATGCGTTTTATTAGTAGTGCCTTTAAATGCATTAGAGACCCATTCAATGTATACATGAACTATTTTAATTTTTAAAATTTTAATTTTTAAAATCAACTCATCTTTTAGGCTAGAAATGAAGTATAATCAACTACATTTACCCAGCTTCCTCCACAATGTTAAAATAATTTACTTAGCTCAGTGTACTGATTCAAAACTGTTTCTTGCTCTTAAAGAGCTTCCAGTTAAAAAAAAAAATTTAATAGAATCCTAAAGCAATATGAAACTGAAAACAAATGAACTGGAGAGGAAAGTGTATATTAGTGAGACAACAAGCTCAAAACTAAACAGGAAAGATACAGCACAACAGGCAAAGTGGAGGGTGGGAGAAATCAATCCAGATCTTGCTCATTTCTCCAAGTAGAATACAAGCAGAAAAGTCAGGCATGATTTTTACTTTATAGTACAGTGGGAGATAATTTGTATAATCACAAAGAACATAACAAGGAGGTAAAAAGAGAGTGGGGCAGCAACTAGTGTGCGTTTGAAGCAACACACAAAAGCAGCCCCGCTGGAGCAGCAGCCATGGAGAGAGAGAGAAGGGGTGGGGGGGCAAAGGTCCCCGGGGACTGGCCAGCAGGGGAACAAAGCCTCCGGGCACAGAGACGCTGCCCCCAACATGCCCCACTATGAGGACCATTTGTTTGGTTTTCCCTACAGAATAATGGCCTACAAATGAAATCAATGCCAGACAGACAGGCTTGAATGAGATGTAATCAATGAATCATCACACATCAGTCTCAGCAGAGAGCACAGGTTAAGGTGGTGCTCAACAACCTAGGCCTTGCGACCCTCTGGAGGTCTCCCCGGCCTCGAAATGGGCACTGGTACAACCATCCACAACACCAACTGCTCTGTCCAGTTCTCAGCTGTTGCATCCCACCTGCCTGCCTTTTCTCTTCCTTTTTCACCACCATCACTCCTGCCGACCCTGCCAATCTTACTTTTCTTTGAACTTGTAACTCCCTGTGACTTCTCTTCTCCCTAAACAGCCAGATAATCAGATACACAAAGTCCGGTACTGAGAGAAAATTCAGTCACTCCTGTAACCATGAAGAAAATGTTATTATTGCTTTTTCCTTCCCAAAGGCTGAAGATCAGACTAAACTTTTCTTGCCGTGGGAGTGTGGGGAAGAATGGGAGATGGAAGAACGAGAGAGAGAGAACATGCAGATAAAGGTAATCTAGGCCACCTCACAAAGGGCTGCCTCAGGATGTAAGAAAGGTCCTGGGAACCCTCAGTGGAATGAGGACATAGGAATCCCAGAGCTGAGCTTAGAGACCAGATCTGCACAATGAGAGACCAAAAGCAAACACAAGACCCCAGCACAGGTCCCCATCTTGAGCTACAGCTAGAAGAGTCAGAGGACCTGGAGAAACATCTGCCAGTCCTCCTTCCGCTATGAGAAGCCCAATCACAGGCCATGCATCAGGCTGAAGGCAGGCCTGCTCCCCATTACTCAGGGCCACCAGGAAGCACTGCCCAAGGGGTCTCTGTTCCACACCTGAGAGTGTGGGCAATCACATTAAACCCACATGCAGCAGCCCAAACTCTGGGACTTCTCTTCCGATAAAAAGAGTGCCAAGGGCTGGGGATGCAGCTCAGTGGTTCCTTGGGATGCAGCTCAGTGGTTCCTGGGGATGCAGCTCAGTGGTTCCTGAGGATGTAGCTCAGTGGTTCCTGGGGATGTGGCTCAGTGGTTCCTGGGGATGTGGCTCAGTGGTTCCTGGGGATTTAGCTCAGTGGTTCCTGGGGATGTAGCTCAGTGGTTCCTGGGGATTTAGCTCAGTGGTTCCACCACCTGCACCGCCTGCCCCACAAGCACAAGGACCCGAGTTCAATCCTCAGTACCAAAAAAACAAAACAAAACAAAAAGAGTGCCAAAACAACTCACTAGACAGCATGGGAGAATAAGACCTAAAAAATAAAACTGTATTGCTGTCAAAGGCACTTTAATCCTGCAAAAACACAATAACCCATTGTATGACAGTGGTCATTACATAAACTCAGTGTAACCCACTAGGCAAAGGGGAAAAGCCAAAATTACAAGAAACCACTTACTTTTCTATTAAGTTGTTGTAAGCTACCACACTATTCTTCAGGTAAGGCTGGGGGGTCACATTACTGCCAAAGGCATATTTAAAATGGCCATCTCGTAACCGATAAGCTTTCCTTCTGGACACAACTGAGGTCAGTATATCTTTAAGGTGATTCTGTAAAAACAAAAGAAATAGCACAGTCTCTTCCAGTGCAAATCATAAGTCTTCTACTAATCAAAAACTGTTTGTTGAATTTAGATGGAAATGTGGGACAGGCTAGCACATTAGAACCACAAGAACTTTAATAAAGGAACTATAGAGCCATCCTAGAGCAACAGGGTATAGGAAAGACAGGGAATGCTGAATATATTACTTCGCTTTAAAAATGGGCTTGCTCTATATGAAATTTATTTTAAAAGTTTTTATGTTGCTAAATTGACTCCTCTCTCAAAAGTGACATAGTAAACAATTTATTTTTTAAAAAGAGGCAAACTAACTTAAAACTTGGCTTAAAATGGGATAAAACGGCCACTCAGACATCCGGCAAATCACCAGACCATGTTCATTCCCCTGGTATCATGTACCTCAGACCTCTCTGTCTCTCTCTCTGTTTCTCATTTTGGGTTATTTTTTTCCTCCTTTTTAAATTTGCTTTAAACCAAGTGTGATGCCATATTGAGTCAATGTTATTCTCTCACAGTATATTCTATAAGAGGTGTGGGTTTTTATTTGGTCAGGATGCTAGAAAGTGCTAAAGTAGCATGATCAGTGTGAGCAGAAGGGTTTTTAAGAAGTATGGAAAAATGTATTGGCTTTGACGGCAATGAGATGTAGTCAGCTGCCTTTGAAGAGGTTTTATCTGGTCAGTGTTGCGTCATTTTCAAAAGTAATAACCTGTTCTGACAAGTGAAGATAGAGTTGAAAATGGATTTGAAAAGGGTGTTGAATGCGATTAGATTATGCTATTTGGACAATAAACTCACCTTGACCTTAAAAAAAATGGGATAAAATGTCTTAAGGTCTGGTGTTTGTTGGTTATCAAAATCCTTGCATGGAAAGAACACTTGCTCTCTCAAAAGCCAAATAAATAAGATATATAGGAAATAAACACAGAAGAATTAATTTCCCTTTATCCTTACAAGAGCAAGTATGTAAGAGAAGGTTGGAGAATGTCTGTGAAAAGAGACAGAACTGGCCCGCCCTACAGTTATGAATAGGGAAGGCAGCATAAGATGGGTTATTTCAGTTACTCCAATAAGACCATCTTCTGCCAAGACAGTACTGTGCAATTTAATACTGGCTTTCATAAAGAATTTATCTATGTATGTAACTTCCGGACATAGCTATTACTGTTCTGACATATACATGAGGAAAATGAGGCCCAGAGAACTGAAAGGAATTATCTAGTGTTACCCCAGTACTGTCAGGTCAGTGAAATGTATACTCTGTAAAATGACTAAATAAATGAATGCATAAATGCAACAGTGTGCTGACACAAGAATCCCATGTTCAGGCGCTAAGTCTGCTTTATTTAACTCAGCAAAAACAAGTGACCTGAATCATTAAGATTCCCAACCTCATTTCTTTCCTTTAAAAAGGTTCCCTTGTTGACAACTCAAATACCAGACTGAGCAGAAGTGTAAAGCCACCAGCAACCTTTCTGAAAGCTTAGTCTACTGACTGAAGGCAGTGCTTTAGAACGTGATAGATTTCTCCCTCAAAAGCAAACAACTTCAGTGGTGACAACTCTGTAAAACCAGGCTGTCATTTTGGTTCTTTCCTGGCAACATCAACTTCATACAACACACAAGCCTATCACACTCAATCTGTGAAGTTGTTTCTGCCAAGAGCAAACCAACCTCCACCGCATAGACCACAGCTGACACGGCCTCCTCGGTCACGTTGTCCAGCCCGTGCTCGTAGGCGGTCACTATCATCCGCCCCTCCAGCTGACCTCGGGTGGGGAGCATCATTGTGTGGGAACACAGCTTTAAGTCGTCGTCATCTTGGGGATCCTTGGCCACAAACTGCTGAGCTCCAGAGAGGGGATTCTGAGGCTGGAATCTATGCTGTGTATAAAAAAAAACTTTTCAGAATCATTCACTGCAGTAAAAAATAATAAGATACAAAAAAAGTAATCCACATGTTGAGGTGGAGATCCTGTAACTTAGTATTATACATGTTACGTTATATATGTTATATAACATGGGGAACAAATATTAAAAGGTAAAAAGGTAACTCATTCATCAAAAAAAAAATCACATCCATCATATGGTAATAATGAAGACATGAATTAAAGGGAATAATATTTGTATTCACAGTTTATTCAATTAATAAGTAAGTGCTCACCGGACATATGCCCCTGTGCTCAAAATAACAGAAAAGGGCCGGGGATTTAGCTCAGTGGTTTCGCCGCGTGCTGGGCAAGCACAAGGACCGGAGTTCGATCTCTGGTACCAAAAAAAATAACAGAAAAGAAAGCTGGGCATGGTGGCAATCCTATAATCCCACCACTCGGGGGAGGCCGAGGCAGGACTATCACCAAGAGTCTGAGGTCAGCCTGGACTACATAGTGAATTCAAGGCCAGCCTGAACTACATGGTGAGAGCCTGCCTCAAAACAAACAAAAACAACAACAAAAAGAGCAAAGAAAGTAACAGGAAAAGATACACAATTATATTAAAAAAGTCAGAGAAGTTTAAGTATAAGCATAAATAAGTGCTAAAAATGAAAACTTATAATTAATGCTTCAATTAAGACTTAAGCCTAGCTAACCAATATGATAAATCTAATAACAAATGCTCCAAGATAATGCTGCAACAGCCTGTTAACTATATAGTTACGGTTATTTTCTACTTAGAATTCTCAACACAGAACCTACCTAGGACACAGTTACACTATCTAAAATCTTTTGCATTTATAAAATTGCAGCTTTCCTCACAAAACTCTTTTTTTTTCAGTACTGGGGATTGAACTCAGAACCTTGCGCTTGCCAGACAGGCGTGGCAGCACTGCACTACATCCTTGGCCCCTAATTTTTTTTTTCCGGTACCGGGGATCAAACTCAGGACCTTGCACTTGCCAGGCAGGCCCAGAGCCACTGAGCTACATCCCTGGCATTCCTCTGGAAACTGATGGCCCATGCATATCTCCATCATCACTGGGAGATACATTCCCGGTGCTCTGGGTTAAACCCAATGAAAGATTTTGCAGAAACCAGGCACAGTGGCACACTCCTGTAATCCCAGCCACTCAGGAGGCTGGGGGAAGAGGATCACAAGTTTGCAGTCAGCCTGTTTAACTTAAGAGACTCGATCACAAAATTTAAAAAAAAAAAAAAAGGCTAAGGATGTATCTCACTGATACAGCACCCTTGGGTTTGATGCCCAGTAATGCAAGAAAAATAATTTTTGTCATAAAGATAGTTTGTCCCTGTTTGCTTGTATTATAAAAAACAATACCAAGGGCCAGGGATTTAGCTCAGTGGTTTCGCCGCCTGCCTGGCAAGCTCAAGGACCTGAGTTTGATCCCTGGTACCAAAAAAAAAAAAAAACAATACCAGGCTGGAGATTTAGCTCAGTGGCACCATGCCTACCTGGCAAGTGCAAGGGCTTGAGTTCAATCCCCGGTACCAAAAAACAGCAACAAAAGTATAGCACCCAGAAAAGAAAAAAAAAAAAAAAGAATTAAGATGTGTTATGTACATGTACCAACTCTCTATGATGAATGTAATCATTATGTATTGAACATATGCACTAATAAAAAACAAAACAAATATTGTTACCTTTCAATTTTCCAAGTATAAAACTGTATTTTATATTGAATGTGTCTTTTTAAACCAGGGGTGCCTTTCTGGAAATGCTAAGACCCTACAGACTGAATATTATTACTGATATAAAACACACGGTGACCGCCACCAGCATCGAGAACAGAACTGTCCCCAGTGCAGAGGTGGTGAACTTTCCCGGCCACTGTACCACCACCCCCAGCACCAAGGAGCAGAGGTGCCCCCAGCGGAGAGGAGTTGAACCTTCTGGGGCACTGTACCACCACCCCCAGTGAGCACTTAGGTATTAAGAGGAGGTGAGCCACACCAGCGCTAGCAGGAACCCCCCACTCCCCCACCCTAGTTAAATAAAAAGATACATAAACAACTCTCAAAACAACACTTCCAGATCACCTAAAGCAACCCCAAAGGCAAACGAGATGCAACAATCTGATACTCAACCACCTGGACTCCCTGAACTGGCAACAAAAGAGAATCTGGAAAAAATGAAATCAGAAATAATTTCTCGGGCTGGGGATTTAGATCAGTGGCTCCATCACCTGCCTCGCACCTGCAAGGTCCCAAGTTCAATCTCCAGTACCAAAAAAGAAAAAAATGCAGAAATAATTTCTCATATAAAAGCAAAGATTGTGCCCATAGTGCAAGACATGATTAATAAATCTAGAGAGGACTCAGATAAAAAAATAGAGGAGCTGAGGAACATGATGGAATCCCAACACAGAAAAACAAACGGAATCCATAAAACAGATGCAAACAGATTTCCAGGAGATTAAAAACTTCATTGAAAGTTTATGTAGCAGAATGAACCAAATTACAATTCATGATCAGAAAAAGAAAAATTTCTTTAAAATAGTAAGGGACCACAATAAATCAATCCAGCAGCTGCTAGACAATGCAAAGAATAACATAAGACTGACTGGAGTCAATGAAGAAACAGCAGAGAGTGCAGATGACATAAAAAAACTGTTTACAGAAGTGATGGCAGAAAACTTCTCAAGCAGGGGAAAAGAACTTGACATACAGATAAGGGAGGCATATAGGACTCCAAATAGTCTTGATCAAAAAAAATCTACACATAGGCATATAATTGTTAAGATTCCAGGAACCGAACAGAAGAACAAAATTCTTCAAGCAGTTAGAGAAAAGAAACAAAGCAAAGTCCATCAGAATTACAGCAGACTTCTCAACACAAACCCTCAAGGCAAGAAGAGCTTGGAGTGACATATTTCAACCCCTAAAGGAAAACAGCCTCCAACCCAGACTGATGTACCCTGCAAAACTACCTTTCAAAATTGATGGAGAAATAAGATACTTTCATGATGAACAGCCCCTGAGGAACTTCATGAACCCCAAAGCAACACTCCAACAAATTTTATACAGTATGATAGGAAAAGACAATGCAGATCACAACCCCAGGAATCCCAGCAGAATAAATCCATCAGGCATGACAAAAAATTAAACGCAAAAGGGGAAAATCAAGCAAAAAGAAAAAGTCATGACAATGATAAGTCAATATGTATTATAACCATCAATGT